CCCCAAAACCCCAAAACCCCAAAACCCCAAAACCCCGTGATAATAAAATAATATTGAGAACAAGTATAGGGTCTTTATTAATTAACTAGCTGGTTTCAGCTTGATTATAGTTGAAGCTTTGTCTTCAGTTCCCGCAATAAACAGAGTCACAGCCGCTGATTTTAATGACCCAGATTCTGCAGTGAGGGCATCTTCTCATCCCATTATCGATGGCATGCTGAATTGCTTTATGATCATTAAAATCTAGCTTTCCTTTGCCGTATAACCTTTGGAACTGGTCTCAGTTCATTCCATCATGCCACTCGCTCTCTCATTCAAGGCAGTATTCAATAGAACAACTAGGGCATTTGAATTCAGGGTTTACTTGAAGATCATTCCCTTCAACTCACACAACATACTCACAATCCGGAGTGGGACATGCCATGAACTTCTGAGCATTCTGGTTCATAGCCATTTTGAACGAGAACAAGTCGAACCGCTCCACATACTTCTTCGTCAAAGTTTCTCTGATGATTCCGAACGGAACTTCTTCTTTGCACTCCACGATCGGACACACCAGCGGAATCTTGTTGCTGTCGATCGATGTTTCAAGGTGCGTCTGCAAACACTCTTTGTGGAACAAGTGGGCGCAAGTGTCGATGCCTTGCACTTCGTCCATCTGGATGTCATCCAGACAGATTTTGCAATCGCCAACGACAAGTTGCTTGGCTTCATCAGATGGGTCTTGTTTGGCTTCTTCTTTGGACTCTTCATACTTACGAGATCGATGGTGTTTGGTGTCCCTATCATCATCAGAGTCATCGGAGTCTGCAAGCTTAGGACGTTTGTAGCCATTCTTAGACTTTTCAAGATGACTGTCATCGCTGTCGTGGTCTGAGTCAAATGCAGATGTATCTTCAACAGCTAAGTGAGGTCTCTTGCTTGCTTTCTTACTATCTTTAAGCCCACTCTTTCTAGGTTTGACAATAGGCTTCTTAAAGACTTCTTCATTGTCTTTGGTGCTGCTGTCAGAGACACCATCACTAGCAAACTGATTGTAGAAATACAAAGATTTCTGTTTGAACGAGAGCTGCATCCGTGCAGCCCAAGTCCGAGCTTTCAAAATTTGGTCGGTCATATTTTTAAACTGGTAGTCAACAAGTTTGTTCTCTTGATGATCTTTATCAGCAAACTTGTGAAGGTTCTGAGCAAAGAGGACTCCGGCATAGAAATACTCCATGAAACCAAGTTGTTTTTACATTTGTTTAAGGCTTTGCATCAAGTCAAGTATGGCTTGATCTATTTGCTCTAAATCAGGTTGTTCTTGGTAATCTTCCATATTTAATAATATTGTAAATTTGCACAAATATAAACTCTAAACTGTTAGAATTTATCAGAAAGATTATTCAACATTTCCTCACAACTCTGGGGTTTTGGGGTTTTGGGGTTTTGGGG